CCGCGATTGCCCCGCTGACGCTTCGCTGTCTTTCCCTCGCCCGCCGCCCGCTGGTGGTGGAGGTGGCCGCGGGGGGGGGGGGGGCCCTCGCCGCCGGTTTTCTTCGTCGGGAAGACGAAATACGTCTTCCGCCTTCACCCTGGCGAGGTCCGGGAGGTGGTCTTCACCGCCTGCCTCGTGGCCCCGGGGGTGGTGAACTGCAATCGCTTTCGCCTGCACGCCCGGCCCTGCGAGGCGGCGGCGGACGGCCCGTCGGGGGCCACCGCAATCGGGAAATCGAGGGCGGAAAGCCCGGACGAGCCCCTCCGCCTGTGCGAGCTTCACACGGATCAGCTTTTGGTCATCGGCGGAGAAACCCCGGTCTACACCGAGGCCAGCTTTCCCCATCAGCCGGACTCCCCCCAACCCGCTCCCGCGGAGGACGAACTCGCGGCGAAGCGGCGGATGTACGCGGAGGATTTACGTCGGTTTCAACACCATCGGCGGGCCTTTGAGAACGGCCTCGCCGCCCAGACCGACGGCCGCGTGGCCTACGTCTACCGCCCGCGGGTCCACCCCGCCCACGACGGCGAGGGCGAAACCCCCGAAAACGCGCAAGCCGAGCCTCCCGCGAGGTCGAAAATCCCCGCCTTCGCCACCCTTTCCTCCTCGACAATGACGACGACTTCTGTCAGTCGGGAAAACGACAACCTCGTGGGGGCCTCCCAACCGCCTTTAAACCAAACCATCCCCCTGCCGTCCTTCGCGGCAGCCGGCGGGGGGGGCGAAAAGACCACGCGAAGCTCCTCGAGGGCATCGGAAGGGGGGGAAACAGGGGAAAATAGGGCTCGGAATACCAATAATAATAGCCAGGGTGGGTGTGGGTTCTCTCCGATTCTTTCAGGACAACGGGAGGGGGATGAGAGCCCAACGGTGGAGGCGGAGGCGAAAAGCATGCTAAACTTTCCACGGCGTGATTTTGTGGAGGTGATGGAGGTGGGGAATTGGGCAACCTCGTCTGTACGGCAAACCAATAACGACGACGATGGAAAAAGGAGGGCGATGAAATCTAAAACGCTAGTTCCCAGAAAAGGATGAAGGAGAGCAGATCCCCAAGATAATGGATATCCCCTTCAAACGCAACTCTTCCATATTGGGGAAGAAGAGAAAAAAAAACATACTTTCCAGCTCAGTTCAGTATCCTCCATCATGGGTTGGTAGTCCATGTAATTCTGAAAAAAAAAAAAGGAAAAGGAGGAGGGGAAAAACACGATATCGTAGAATGGAAAGAGGTAAGTGGAGTGCGCTTATACGTAGAGCGAAGCGTTCATTTTTTAATCCTTTCGATCAACACCGCCACCAGTCAACATACGCATGCACACATTAAATTCATTGCATTCCTAGGGTAAAATATAACAAAGGGACAAAAGTGTACGTTTATTTTTTGTCTATGTAGGAAGAATAATTTGCTTTTATTTGAATCTATAACACAAAAATAAAAAACGTTTAATATTACGTGGCTAGTCTAACTAAATGTAGCTTCTATGTTGAGTAAGAAAAAAAAACGCATTTCTTTTTAATACGTTATTTCAACCTTGTATGATCATTTGGGTTATTATCAAACCTTTTTTTATAGAGCCCCACATAGAGAAGTTCAGAGACACGATTCAAAATATCGAAAGCATTTGTTGTTTTTTCCACCTCTATAAGGCTTCATTGTCGCGTCTGATCTAGTTTGATAGTTGGTGTATTCTCTTCCTTTCTTTATATTGAATTATTACCATTATTATTCCCAATGCAACCCGTGCAACCCAACAATAATCTCCCAGGGCTCGGTCAGAATGAGGTAGTGATTCTGTCGGAGAAGCTCTACCACATAGCCAATGAAGGTTTTATGTTCTGCTCACAAAAATGCATCACACATTACGGCGAAGATTCAATACCCTATCACCCAGGCGAGAAAGCATGCCTAGATCGGTGTATTAGCAAAGTGCGTCATGGCATGTACATGGCGATTGATACCAAAAGAAAATTTGAGGAGCAGTTGAAAGCGCAAGAAATGCCATATCAATGGATGCGAGACGCGGCAGCTGGAAAATTTGGCAGTCAGTAATCTGAGACATGCAGAATGGGGTCACTCTTAAAGCTCACGATCATACCCATTCATGAATGAATAATAAGCCCTAATAGGTAATGTTCGTTTCCACAAGTTCGTCTTTAAAAAGTAAGTGTAAGTACTAAAATGTTGCTGGTGTACCTTACTTTACAACATTTCCCTTCTCACACGTATGAGATGACTTACACATGCACATTTACCTATTACCATTAATTCCAGTGTGAGAACTTAAAATTAGAAAAAGTCAAAAAGACTATGATATAATACAAATGCATTTACAAATCTCATGAGTAATATTACAATCGGTTCTCAATTTCAATGCAAAGTGCACCTATAAGATTTTCACAATAAAGAAAAGACATTAATAAAATTGAAATTTAACATTTAGTAAAAATATTATCAGATTATATGCATACAATTATAATAAAAATAGAAAACAAAAAAGGACTCG